AGCATGTCTGTCTGTCAAAATAACTTGAATCTTGATCACAACTTTCGAATGAGAAGAGATAATGCTTTTTTTATAGCAAAGATGCATGTGAAAGTTTTATATTATGTACATGTATGTTACATATGGTAAGATGTTTCTAATTATACTATGATTTTTTACGATCCCATGACCTTGATCCTTTAAAAAAAAATACTTATAAAAAAATTAACGTTACTTTAAATTGGTCATAACTTTTGAAAGAAAATATTTTTTTTCATATTGTAAATGTTTATTACCTTTGGTAAAACCTTTCCAAATACTGTTATGATTTTTTTTACCTTATGACCTTGACCTTGATGTTTAACCTACTTTTCGAATAAGTTATCTTTCTTTTAACTTTTGATTGAGAAGAAATAGAACTTTCATACTTGATTTATCATTATCTGTGATAAACTGTTTCGGGGAATGCAATATTTTTTACAACTTGACCTTTACCTTTGTTCGGCCTGAATTAAAAAGAATAACTATGGTGATTACTTTTGAATGGCATATGACAGAGCGATCATATTTGACACAATGGCATCCACTAAGACATCAAACGTGAAGGTCTACAATTCTTTTAATTTGCTTTTTGTAGAAAAATGCTATGTTCATCACCTATAGGAGCTCCAGTGAAGATGAAAATATATAAATCATCAACTCACTTATTTTTTCTTTCACTTAATAAATCACTGATGAACAAAATCAGGCGCGGATCCAGAAAAATGTAACAGGGGCACCCCAGTCAAAAAAAAAATTCCAACCCAGAAATTTCTTGACAAGCAAAAAAAAAAAAAAAAACGTCTCGAAATCGTGAAAAACCTATTTCACAGGGGAGTGGGGGTCATCTACTTTCAAAGGTTCATACTAATGACTTTTTATCACAGGTCTATGTTTTTCATACCAGTATCACATACAACAGTGTTTTCGAGGAGGAGTCTCCGATTTTTAAGGGGGTCCAAGGTAATTTTACTTGGTTTGTTTTCGTTTTGAACATATTTTATTGACAATATGTCAAAGGGATTGGACACAAGTTCCAAAAACTTAGATAGTCCTCTCCCATTGAACTTGGTTCAGTATTATATAAATATTGCATGTACATGTAGTTGAGCCTGCGCCTCGGTTGACAATGGTTTTCGAGCTGTGAAAATTTTCAATGTTACACTGAACTACATGCAATATTTATTATATTATACAATGTTTTATACAAATACATATAACAGTGAACCTGTGCGCGCATAAATTCTGCACAGTCGCTATTTTTTGGAATATCACCCGTCGTCAAGCACTGTTGACTGTTGCTACGCTGGAGGGCGTGGCTTCAGTATTCAGCGGGTAATAGTGTTTTTTAACAAATGTTTCTCGACCAATCAGATTCAACTAATTTACAAGAAAGTATAACATATACATTGAATAACTCTGCAAATTCCAGGAGGTGGGTCCGGACCACCACCACCCTCCCCCTCTAGATACGCGCGTGAAAGCTTCTGAAACTCTAAAGACTTATTTATTCTGAAGGGTTGTTCCTGGTCTTCGTTGTAACCCACTGGTTTTCTCCCTGTTACACGACATTCAAAACGATTACTGAACATTTGATTTATTAGTATGCATTAACAGTGGCCATTGTGTTGCCATCGTTCCAAGGGACAAAAATAAGAGTTATCGAACTTCAGACTATACAAATTTCAAGAAATACAACCAAACACAAACAAAAATTATATAGGTTGAAGGAAAGGAAGTTCGATAGGTAATGCAAGTGAATTCAAAGTCTTCTCTGTGAGGTTAGAAAATTGAAACTGGTCTGAGATATTCAAAGTCAATTAAATTAAACACAGAGTATACACAGACTTTGCATGATAAATTTTAAAGAAATTACTTTACACATTGACAATTACATGTAATTTTGTAAATTAATGATAATAATCCAACTTTGTGGGTGTTCTGTTTTTTTTTTTTTTTTTTTTTTTTTTAATCTGCATACAATTGTAAACTTGTGAAGAGAATAACAAGTAACAGCTTTTTAAAACGCTTGCCAGACTAAACTTCAATCAATATCTGCTTGGGCAGTGATAAACCTTTTGAGCTATACTTTTGTGGGTTTAAAATACGTCCTTACTTTATACTAGTATTTTGAGAACCTTGTGTAAATGAAATCTTGATTTTATTTAACTTGTAGAAGAACCATCTCTACACTACATACATATAAGAAAGAGTTGTTATTCTGTGGGGGTTTGTGCAAGTGGAGTGACCTGCCCTTGGATCTAAAATACACATATTATTGGAGTGTATTTTCTCCACTGAAGTAAACAGTAGTAATGTGAATTCATTATTTTTTTTTCGTAAAGGGGAGGGGGGTTAATGCCACTATCATACATGTATATTGAGAATATAATCTTTACTGCATATTACACCCATATGGGTCAAGCAATACACCAGAAAAACAAAACAATAAAGAACAATGAATTATATATACATGTACAATATCCATTCAGAAATTTATTTCCTAAATGTTACACCGATGTCATCGTTTCAAGCCACGGTCCGGAGTCCGCATATAGCTCTCTCCGAGAGGATCGTACATTTTGGCCGTGGTTTGCGACCAGTGGCGGATTTAAGGGGGGCGCACCCAGCGCGCGCACCCACCCTAAAATTGTCAAAATTAACGTAAATCACAGTTTCTTCTAGAAAATATAAATATGTATACTTGGTAGACCTCATTTTTACCCTACAAAATCTCTAGAATCCAGGAGCTTCCGGGGGCTTTGCCCCCTGGGCCCCCAACAGGGCTTTGCCCTGGACCCACTGGGGGCCTCAAGGCGGCCCCCAGACCCCTTGCCTACTTTTTACGCCCCCCTCTAACTTCAATTCCTGGATCCGCGCCTGGCGACGATGGACCGATGTGGACCTTTTATTTCTCAATTCTAATGATTGTTTGATAAAAGTGCAAACAGCGGGTAAGTTTGGGACTTAGCATATTTTCAATTTTTTGTGTACAGGTGATTTGAGGTAGAATGAGGAACGATTATAGATAATCGTTAGATCTAACATAGCTTTTATAAGTATGAAATAAATAAATTCAATGGTCAGACTTTTATGAAAAGAAAAATCCAAGATTTTGCACTTGTTTCTTCTTTATTGTGTGCATCTGAAGAGAGACATATAATAGATCATGCATCTGAAGATCATGACTTGTTGGACTGCGTTGTTTATTAGTATTGGACTAGTCCAACAGGCGCGGATCCAGAAATTTTTTCCAGGGGGGTCCACCCCAGTCAAAAAAAAATCCAACTCCTGAAATTTCTTGACAAGCAAAAAAAAAAAAAAAAAAAAAAAAAAACCTAAGCTCGCCCAAATGTCAAAAAAAAACCTATTTCGTGGGGGGAATAAACCAAAAGCGGGATCGGGATACAAATTAGAAAAATCATTTCTTTAGTGTTGTCCGTATACTGATATATACGATATGTTGTTTAGAAGAATGAGATAAAACATTAACTTGTAGGTCGAATTTCTGAAGCATTAGAAGGTTGTTAAAAGCACAAACTTTATCTAATTCCAAAAATTAGAAATCTTGCACAGAATATAGCTCTATAAGCATGATTGCATAGTTTCGGATCATGACAATATATTTACATCCAATAGATATTTTTCCTATGAAGCCCATTGCCATTAATCAGTGCATGAACAACACTGAGCAAGCCCCGTATGTAGTTTTCTTGAACAATGGCTGTTCCATCAGTTCTACATATAATGACATATTCATCTTAAAAATAATAATTAACAAATGTAATTTTTATTTTGAATGATTTTTAATACAGATGTAAATATAAACGATAAAAATTAATGCTTTCTTTGTTTGTTAGTTCGAGAATTCGCAGCAATTGCAGAAAAAAAATTATATATGTATTTTTCCTGCAACAGCTGCGGCATTAATACCCGTGCTGACAACCAAAGAAAGCATTTTATATTCAAATTAAACAGCACGTCACGGCAATAAACTCAGTTCACTCCAGTATGAGGAAGTATGTTAATAAAACAACGACCGGACTAAAAGTGAGGAACCGAATCACCCATACTACCCTCCCATTCTTATGGAGGAATACCAATCCAATATCAGCTTAAATTTCATTGGTGTAACTGGGATTCTAATCTAAATCTAACCTACTTATTGATTACCGCATGTTTTGTTGCATAAACATGATCGTATTCTTCGATTAAAAAGAAATGTTTACTCGATATTGCAATAAGCAGTTTCTTCCTCTGATCGGAAATATATACATGTATGTGCAGATACAAAACAAATCTATGTACTGCATGGTTGTCTTGGTCTATAAGTACTCATATCTTATATCTTCCATTGACTATAAAAATACAGTGTAAATTATATTATACCGACGTTTAGAATTAACAACATTGAAATAACATTTGAAACATTCGCATCAAATGTCTTGAAATTTTGACCTACACAGAACTAAATACCTACTTTTGAGGAAAGGAAACTTATTCCTACATCCATTTTGCATTCGTTCAAATGTTTGAAATGATTATTAAGTATTTATTTAAGATCATTGTGTTCTGGGGCACATATCATCTTTTTTTTGAAAGTATGGACCAGAGAGAAATATGACGAAACTCGAAAATCCTATTTCGTGGGGTGGGTAGGCTAAAGTTCCAACCTCTTGCAGTATCAACTTTTATACCGCAACAAAAAGTGGGAAGGGGAGAGACAACCTGTCTAGTCTTTCAATGGACATCAGTAATAAAAAGTTACAGCTGGGGGGAGACGTGGAGTAGGGGGCCCCCAACACCACCCACCCTCCCCCTGGTACGTTCCTACATTCATTGTTTGAAAGATGTTCAGAAGATAAACCACCTACACTTATTTGGATTCGAAGCTAAGTCAATAAATGTATTCCCCTTTTTATCGCCATTGAGAACGTAGTAAGTTGAGGGATATAAAATTCCGTCCGCCCTAGAACAAGATTGATATCTTGGCTGTATATAAATATCTTTTCCTTGGTTCGTTACTTCAGTTTCCAACAGGTCTCCAGCCATGAATACAACAATGACCTGCAATGTAAGTATCGTAATACGTGTATTTATTTCTGAAAGATGCACGGCCTATTGATATAACAAATCAAGACTGATTTTTGTCATATTATCATCAATTCTCTGCATGAAATCAACAATTGTTTAATTTAAGTGGGCTTTTTGCTACATGTATGCACCTTTTTTTGAATTCTGGACGATAGTACTAAAAACATACTCATTACATGTAACGTATGAAATGTACCTCTCCTGGTTTTCATAAAGACTAACAAATAATATTTACATATCTAGATTTATATTTATTTTTCTAACTGTATTCTGGTAGCCCTGTTTTAACAACGACTTTCCATCCCACCAAGAACTAGGAGAAATTGAAAAATCCATCATACAGGTAAAAAAAAAATTAATAATGAGAAAAATTAAAGTAATTTTTCATCGAATTTTGTGAATGGAAAAATGTTTATTATTAATTCAACGCCCATTCTCAGCAATAAGGTGCAATTAATGTCGTTCCCTTGTTACTCGATATTTAATAATATAAGAATGTTTTTCAGCACGAGCAAGTAAACATAGGTTATGGTCCGTAAACATCCACAAAAATGAGCAAAATCGGGAAAAGTCTTCCGAGATAAATACGTCTCTGAATTTATGAAAACAATACATACGTTACTGTCGCCAAATCCGTATTTCAAAAATAAAACATAATTGAAAAACTCAAATCTAATAAACGTGTATTTTTATGCACAGAAATTTACTGCACACCATATGAGAGTAAAAAATAATTATAAAAGTAAAACATAAATCACATGTAAATGGCAAATATTTTGCAGCATGTCGTTGTCGCCCAGTTGTTTGATACCTACGTAACGCCATCATATAACTGAGCTTGTAAATTATGTTTATGCAAATATATTTTCATTTTCAAGAAAATCAAACAGTAGACACCTTGTACTATCTTGTAAAATTTATCTGATATTTACTTTCCTTGAAATATTTTCAAACGACTTATATGCATTATAAAACTTCGTCGGTTGTATTTTCGCAAATACATACGTTATACATCTTTCTAAAAGTATATAAATGTGTTAGGCCCTATTAATGGTGCTTATATGATTAGGAAATGGTTCATATTTTTTATTGCATACACATTTTTAAATCATTCTCAACATTTGAAAAATGTACAGTGTATTAACTTACCGGAATTTACATACGTTACCAATACTTACGTTACTGAAAGAATATTACGCATATTCTTGTATCACGTGTTTTCCACATGATGTACCTCATTACTTGATGTTTAAAGTAAGAAAATCATGGTTGTAAATACAGATATGCAATAAATATCAATGTAGTACATGCATATCAGTAAATCTTAAAGAGCTTCGAAATTTTCGGATACCTACATAACATTCGGTAACGTTGGTATTAACTGAGCCTTAATTTTTCATTTCTTTTCTTTAACTAAAAAAATTAAGGTTTTTATAATGGCAGGAGTTATGTTGACAGTAAGTCTACCATTTCAAATTATAGTTAATCTCGTAAACTTTATTTTCATTATACCTAATACTCTTTTTAATCACTACAAAATCTTTGATCTATTCAGTACTTCTTTGTTTATAAATTTCCCCTAGTTTATTTCAATAGATGACCAAATTTGTTGATAATGGTACAAACACAATTTGATAGTTCTATACCTTAAGAAATAAACACAAAAATTGCAAGATTTTAAACTTTAACCCAACAAATCATATTAAAACTTTTGTCATAGCTAGTAACGTATGTAACGATTTTACGTTACGACAATAACGTAATATTTTATCATTTGTTTTCATATTCTGATTCAGTTATAGTCTGGATTTTCAAAATAGTATGTAAACTTATCCATATGAAGTATTCAAACAGTGTAATCTAATTACGGTTGATAGTTACCAAATTACCTTATTAGATAATACTTACGTTACTTTAGACGTACACAATTCTGAGACCGTATATTATTCTTTAAAAATATTATAATTATGATTGTTTTTAAATTTATTGATTTTTCCATCGTCCACTTATTTCAATTTGATACAGGTCATGTTTTTCATGAAGGCAATTAGAAGTAATAAGTAACGTAACATACTACATTATTCAGTAATTATTAAAAGTGTTCTTCAGTTGTTCTAAAAAAGAGGTTTATTGACTCTTATGCCTTAAAAAGTACAGATTATTTGCCCTTGCATCGAATAAAAATTATATTCCTGCATATAAATGTTTTCTGAAGTAGTCAAAATGCCTTAATCATTGTATTTCCTAAATCAATATACACAGTAACGTATATATTGGGGTGATTTTAAAGAAAAAATGCAATGTATTTCAATTTGTCATAATTTTGTCATCAACACATTGGTGTTATGGATATTTTACCATACAACTCAGAATTATCTGGAGAAAACTTTGCAGGAAAAAAATTGAGCGTATACTCAAGTTGAATTTTACGTCTCTGATATACCGTAATTGCACATTATTACTGAGAATGGGCGTCAAATGAAATTTTAAAAAATGTTCAAGTGAATACGCATACTTGTACATCCTTTAACAGGATGTTGCAGTCTCTGTAAATAAAATTTCATATTTTTCTAAAGGATTTAAACTTGGAGGAGAAGAAATTTACCTTCACTAAAATCAAACACAGCGAAGAGAAAATAGATGGTGATCCGAAGAAATGCATCTGGAGACTTAACTCCATTGAAAGAGTACACGTGAGTAAAATCATTATTTCTCTGGCTGTTCAAATTCCTCTTCATTCCCAGCATGTCAAAATCAGAATTAAGTAATCTTTCTGATTCTCTCAACGGAAAATTGTCATGTGCATGTACAAAATCAGAAAGTTATTTAAATTGTGTGCCAATGGTCTATTTAAAAAGAAAATATTTCAAACAAAAATAAACAAACAAAATATTTTGCATGAAGAATAACAAAACGTATGTACTTTTTGTAGCCCAAAAGAACGATCGAACATAAAATTTGGAATCGAAGAAAAAACTGTCTCGCCCTATTACTAAGTATTCTAAAGAGAAACAAGGGCTCCAAACATGTTTCATTTGGGGTTTTTTTCCCCCAAAAAATTACTGTAGTACACTATAAGAAATTTACGCCGATTTCCTGCATAAGATGTTTAAACACTGGTCACCTGGGACTGCTTTGAACAAATGAGCACAAAGAAATATAACATTTCGAAAAAAGAAAAGACAAAAGAGCTTATCGACCCTCATATTAGTCAAATCTCAGCCATTATAAGATTTTTATTATGCGCCCGAATTTATTCGGGGCGCATATTGTTTTTGTCCTGTCTGTCTGTTTGTCTGTCTGTTGTCAACTTTAACCTTCGCCATATCTTTTGAAAAGTGAGAGATAGGGACTTCACATTTGGTATGCATACTCCACTAATTAAGCACTTTCAACCGACACTAAGGTCAATGACGTTGTGCCCTTGACTGTGACCTATATGCTAAAAATAGCTTTTTTCGAATTTTCACAATAACTTTTGAACCTTGAGAGATAGAGACTTCATATTTGGTATGTATACTCCACTAATTAAGCACTTTCAACTGACAACAAGGACAACTAGTGCTAATTGTAACGGGGACCGTTACAGATGTTCCCCAAACGCTCCCCAAATCCCTTTTGGTGCAATATTTCCTGTAAGCTTCATTAAATAAGACAAACTCTATGCATTTGAGACTTTAACAACATTTACCCAGAAGTGTACCAAGTTCATTCAAATTTTAGCATTACACGCGTGCGCATGTTAATGCATGTGCATAATGACCATATCATCTTGTCTACACAATCTATATATTAAATATACTAAATATTAAGATATTTAATCCAAAAGTATTAAAAAATATGCTCATTCAAGTGTATTTTTGATTTTACTCATTTCACGTGCATGCACGTGCATACTTGAGCATGATGACCATACCTTCTTGTAGAAGTCTGTTACATCTATCTATGCTCTAAATCCCACTCCGTTTGGCTGAAAACCAAGGGAGTTATAGCTGTTTAAAGTTTCAGCCAATCAGATTGCAGCGCACGTACACGCACGTGTATGCATGTGCATGGTGACATGCCTTCTTGTAGGAATCCATTATATCTATCTATGTTCCAAATCCCATCCTGATTGGTTGAAAACCAAGGGAGTTATAGCTATCTAAAGTTTAAGCCAATCAGATTGCAGCGCACGTGCATGCACGTGCTTTTATAATTGTTATACATCATGTTGTAGGATATCCTAATGCATGGCTATGTTCAAAATTTCAAAGGATTTTGTCAAAAAACAAGAAAGATATTGAGACTTTAGTTTCAGCCAATCAGAGCGCAGCGCACGTGCATGCGCGTGAGATCTTGCTATTTTGACCATGTCATCATGTATATGCTACTAATATATCCTCACATTATGAGTTTCAAAGCATTTCATGAAAAAATAGAAAAGTTGCGACTATATCTATTATATTGGTCATTTCTCGTGTTGCACGTGCGCGCTCTTGCAAGCACGTGCGCGCAAAATGACCTTGATTCCGCAAATCTACATAACATGTCTACTGACCCTAAAAAGGTTTTACCTACATCGGACGAACAGTTTACAAGATCATTCCCGGACAAAAAAGTACCCAGGAAGAAGAAGAAGAAAAATAATAATAACTAGTGCTAATTGTAACGGGAACCGTTACAGATGTTCCCCAAACGCTCCCCAACTCCCTTCTCGTGCCATATTCCCTGTAAGTTTCATTAAAGAAGGCAAAATCTATGCATTTAAGACGTAAACAACGTTTTCCCAAAAGTATACCAAGTATTTCAAATTTAAGCAATGCAGGCGTGCGCATGTGATTGCATGAGCGTTATGACGATATCATCTTGTCTACACTATTTTACTCATTTGCACGTGCACGCACGTGCATGATGACCATACCTTCTTGTAGGAGTCCATTATGTATCTCTATGTTCTTAATCCCATCCTGTTTGGTTGAAAAACAAGGGAGTTATAGTCATTTAAAGTTTAAGCCAATCAGATTGCAGCGCACGTGCATGCGCGTATTTTCATGACAATTATTATATATCATATTGTAGGACATCTTAAAGTATGCTTATGCTTTAAATTTCGAAGCATTTTGTAAAAAAACAGAAAAGATATTGAGATTTTTGTTTCAGCCAATCATAGCAAAGCGCACGTGCACGCACGTGCATGCATGTGAATGGTGACTATACCGTCTTGTAGGAGTCCTTTATGTCTATCTATGTTGTAAATCCCATGCTGTTTGGTTGAAAACCAAGGGAGTTATACTCATTTAAAGTTTCAGCCAATCAGATTGCAGCGCATGTGCATGCGCGTGATTTCATGAAAAATTTTATATATCATATTGTAGTACATCCTAATGCATGTCTATGTTAGAAATTTCAAAGCATTTCATCATAAAACAAAAAAGATATTGAGATTTCTGTTTCAGCCAATCAGAGCAAAGCGCACGTGCATGCGCGTGAGTTCATGCACATTTGACCATGTCATCTTATCTACACATCTTATATATCTTTATATAATGAGTTTCAAAACATTTTATCAAAAAATATAAAAGTTACAACCATATTAAATATATCAGTCATTTTACTCATTGCACGCGCCCGCACGTGCATGCGAATGCGCGCAAAATGACTTTCGTTCGGCACATCTACACAACATCCCTACTAACCCTAAAAGGGTTTTAACTTAGTTTGGTGAACAGTTTCTGAGAACACTTCCGGACAAAAAAAGTACCGGAGAAGAAATAAGAAGAAAAAAGAATAATAATAATAATAATAATAATAATAAGAAACAGAGTAAAAACAATATGTTCCCCAACTTCGTTTGGGGAACATAACTAGTGCTAATTGTAACGGGGACCGTTACAGATGTTCCCCAAACGCTCCCCAACTACCTTTTGGTGCCATATTCCCTGTAAGCTTCATTAAATAAGACAAACTCTATGCATCTGAGATTTTAACAACATTTACAAAGAAGTGTACAAAAATCATTTAAACTTTAGCATTGCACGCGTGCACATGTGAATGCATTTGCGTCATGACCATATCATCTTGTCTACACAATCTATATTTTTAATACACTGAATATTAAAGTATTTAATCCAAAATTATTTAAAAAATACACTCATTCAAGTGTATGTTTGATTTTACTCATTTCACGTGCACGCACGTGTATACATGAGCATGGTGACCATACCTTCTTGTAGAAGTCCATTACATCTATCTATGTTCTACATTCCACCCCGTTTGGGTGAAAACTAAGGGAGTTATAGCTGTTTAAACTTTCAGCCAATCAGATTGCAGCACATGTACACGCATGTGTATGCATGTGTATGCATGTGTATGCATGTGCATGGTGACCATACCTACTTGTAGAAGTCCATTATATCTATCTATGTTCCAAATCCCATCCTGTTTGGTTGAAAACCAAGGGAGTTATAGCTGTTTAAAGTTTCAGCCAATCAGATTGCAACGCACGTGCATGCACGTGTTTTCATGATAATGCATGGCTATGTTCAAAATTTCAAAGGATTTCATCAAACAACAAGAAAGATATTGAGACTTTAGTTGCAGCCAATCAGAGCGAAGTGCACGTGCATGCGCGTGAGATCTTGCTATTTTCACCATGTCGTCATGTCTATACTACTAATATATCCTCACATTATGAGTTTCAAAGCATTTCATCTAAAAATAGAACAGTTGTGGCTATATCTACTATATTGGTCATTTCACGTGTTGCACGTGCACGCTCTTGCAAGCACGTGCGCGCAAAATGACCTTGATTCCGCAAATCTACATAACATGTCTACTAACCCTAAAAAGGTTTTACCTACATCGGACGAACAGTTTACAAGATCATTCCCGGACAAAAAAGTTCCAGGAAGAAGAAGAAGAAAAATAATAATAATAATAATAATAAGAAACACAGTAAAAACAATATGTTCCCCAACTTCGTTTGGGGAACATAACTAGAAAGTCTGCTATTGCAAGCAATAGCATATGTCGCCCCGTACTGGACAAGGCTTTCATTTTTATCATCACTAAAACAATGGTCCATTAGCTAAGCTTGGACAACCATCGAGTCGTATCAGTCCTTTCCTTTGGAAACGGAAGACCTTAATTGGGTACATCCCACTAATTATTTTAAGAATCGGTAGGAGAAGAAAGTAGTACAGGAAAAAATTACAAGTTCCTAAATTTGCAGACTTGCATAAAAGAAATTGGGCAGATGTACTGAACTGAGCCTCATACTTGTTAATTGGCAGTATCTTTCCTACCAAAAAGGCTTGGCAAATGTAATTTATTAAGAAGATCAGCCGAATTAGTTTGTGTATTATAACACTAGTGAGAACTCTGTAATTTCCCTACTCAGTTTAGCGGAATCATGAACATTTTCGGCGAGATGAATGTTTTGTTTACAGTAGTGATCAAGGCTTCGCGCACCTGTAGGAGCGGATCCCAGTATTTATGAATGAATAAAAACTATGGAAATAACGTACCAATTTTCTAATTTATACTTGCACTATCTAATGAAATTAATAATATACAAGTAATAGATATACAAAAAAAAACGCGAAATGCTAATAAATGCAGCTGACAATCGTTATTTTTTTATATAGATAAAATAAAATAATTATAAAATCTAGAGACAAGACAGAAGAAGAATGAATGTTGGCAAACTATC